TTCGATCCGAATCTCGAGCAAGAGCAGCGACAGCTCTCGTCCCGCGGCCTCGTCTAATTAAATAGAAAAAAGGACATGGAAAAATAAATTAGACGAGAAATTCTGGGGGAGGGGCACAATCCGAAAAGGGCGAGGGCACCCGGCCAGGCACCGCATTCGAACACTAATGCGCCAGGGCTTAAGCCGGCCTAATTCCCGGGCAAAAGCTCAGACGCGAGAGGGCGTGCAAGGAGCGCCCCCGACGCCCCGGTTTCCCAGGGGAAACTCCGAGGAACCTGGGAGAAGCGGTGGAAAAAAATGGCCGAAAACGTAGGAAAAGCGCGCCGGCCCTCGAGGAGCCGGACCAAGGAGGAGCGTCTAGCTCTGCTCGCCGGCTCGGAAACTGAACGAGACACTTGGAGGGGCAAGAGCGGCCTAATTGAAAAACGCCCTTCACGGAGGAAAAGTGGAAACCTAATAAAGATCCGCTTCGACCGTCGCGGGAGGAAGAGAGAGACAACGGACCCGGTTCGACGCCGGGCTCTTCCGGCTAATTATTGAACACTCGAGTTCGAGATTGTCGCGGTAACGTGTTTCAACCCTATGGCACGAGGAGGAACGCCGGCGATGAGTCCTCTCGGCATCTTTTCGACCTTCTTATCGCGCAGCACTCCGGAGATAAGCGGTCGCCGCGTCCGGCGCTTAACCCGCGCCGACTATCAACCGGGATCGATCGTTGTCCATCTTTTTCCCGACATATACATAATCCACTTGTTTCATCGGTAACGTTTCTCGCCCACGCATACACCTCCGTGCCATCGGAGCGATAACGCTCGCGAAACGCGCATCCGCGTGTACGGCACTCGAAGAGTCGAGCGGGCTTTAAGGTTCGCGTTGAAGGGACCGATCGAGGTGGCGCGACCTCGTGAGCTACAAAATCAATTTTCCTCGCGGAAGATAATCCACTTCGACTTCCGGTTTTAAAACACAAGGAATTCGATATTCTTGCGATATCTCAGGGAAAAAGGATCCACCCCGAGATGGACAAGCTCCTCGTGCGGTGTAAAGCTTAAGGTGATGCGAAAGTGTCATCCGAGGGGTCGGTCGTTGCGAAACATTTCTCCGAACTGTCTGGACGGAATTAATTAAAATTCTACCTCTGTCTATAGATGCCCTAAGGAAGATCCCGACGCCCGTGAAATCTCATTCTTTCAAAATGTTTTATAACTTCTGTAAACACGTTTTAAAGAATAAAATTAAATGGTCGTTGAAACATTCCTTAGGGTATCCATATTCACGTGGCAAGATTTCTAACGATTCGGTACCCTCGTTTCTCAGAGAAATTTCATAAACGATTGACCCTTTGAGTGCCACTTTCGCGTCACCTTAAAGGGTAAACTCGGGTTACCGAGACGTAGAATCGTCTTCCTTCTGCGAGTTCCTTCGATTCCAGGGGGAAGGGCTTAACAACTGCAACTGCGACTTCTCCACCTCGACGTCATCTCGCCTTCGGATCGCCTCCGTGAGAGTGATAAGCGCCGCGTCAAATTTCGCGTCATCTAATCCGCGTATCGATGCCTCCTCCTTATTAATTTCCCGTCCCGGGGATCGCAAGAAGAACGACCTCGTCTATCTGGAACGTTCTCCCCCGGGCAGTAATTAATTACGTGCCACGCGGTGGGAAGAATCGGTAAAAAAAGCTCGCCTATCGCGCTGCCTCGGAGATGCTTGAGCGCGCGAAGAGCCGCGCAAAATTCCTCCCGCCGCGCAAGTCCTGGATACGTATTCCCGGCTCTCCCGGCCCGGATTTTCCCTGGCTTTTCGCCTTCGCTTTTTCCTCGCTTCCTCGGCCGAGCCTCGAGATGTTCTCCTCGATCCGGGGCCGCGATATCGTCGAGCGCGACGAGGACACTCGCCCACGCGATAAACGCGAGAAGCGAATCGCGAGAGCGGATTGCCGGAACCCGCGTGCTAATGGACGGGAGAAAAAGGAATACTAGCTCCTCTTGCCCCGGGATATAATGATCTGCCGTCATCTTGGTTAACGAAGACCGCAGGAAATAATTTTAATATCTAATTAACGGCGCGAGTCAGCTGACCGAGAACGTCAGTTTGCCTGGAGTCGGGAATATACAGGGTCCGACAGAATTCGTGCGGCCGCGGTTTACGCGTCGCCATCCTTCTTGAAAATCGAGTCCTGTAGAATCTTTTTTTTTTTCTACGACGCATCTTTTGCGCGTAATAATTAATTGAGATATATCCAGCCAAGCGCGTCGATTAGCTGAACGCATTGGGGATGGGACGAGTCGAATACTTCAACTCCGACTCGAGTCAAGCATGTATTCGAGATGGTTATTTTTAATGTAATCCGAGATATTATTACGAACGAATGAGAGTTACGAAAGGGAGAGTGAGACGGAGTAACCTACGAAATACCGACCGCGTGTTACTCAATTTACTGCAATCCTTATACTCGCGTACTCACGACAGACTCGCCGTGCTCAATGTATGATAAATACCTCCCTCCTTCACGGATTTGTCAAATAGAATCAAATCTCGAGTTACCAATGTTTTCGTATACGAATAACTGAAATAATAAAGTATTCGATTCGTCACCTCACCGGAACGCTTAACAGCCGCGCTCTGTTATCTGCAGAAATATGGCGTGATCTCCGTTTCACTTATTGCAACTCGATTTCCCTGTAAAAATAATTTCAGGCAAACCATGCACCGCCGAAAAATATTGCACTTTCCGACTCCATTTCCGGCAAGAATAACGGTGCGTAAAACGTGGGCGCAAATTTCATTGCACCCTGTTTAATACGTGAACGCCGACATTTGAATTACCCAACTGGAATCCGGAATGCAAGCCGATATCTGAGAGAGCACTTTTCATCAAGCTCGGCCAAAAATAACCTTACCCTCGTGACCAAGTTAAATTTAATTAAATAAATCATCTCTGAATAGAGGCCGCCGAGATCCGAGGAAAAACGCCTTCGTCGACCGCGGGATTCGCGCGTTAGCGGACAAAAAACGCACTCTTCCCTCTTTGGAATATAATGATCTCCGTCATCTTAGTTAACGAAGACTGAAAAATTCCTTTCTTTCTCTTGATTTTTTTTTGTTCTTTTTTTTCCCCTACTTTTATATCCGACCGCCGCAGTCATTAGCCGAGGGAACAATTTTGCGTACTTATTAACGGCACGGGTCAGTCGGTCCCTCCGAGTCCGCGAAACAATCGACGCAAAATACAGCCACCCGCGGTCGGATTATCCGATTAAAATGCAAACCGGTGAACGGGGGAACGTGTTCCATTAAAATCACCCGAAAATTACCGTGAAATTATGGCCGAATTAAATGCTAAAATTCAAATTCCCCCGCGAGTTAGCCGGGCACGGGGGCCGCCGCGATTCTACGAAGAATACCTTCACCGGCCGCGCCGGTACATGCTTCGAGGACTTCCGGCACTCCCACGGAAAAGGAACTTTCCGAGATCGTTTTTCCTTCGTGCGGGACTACAATTACCCTCCGCGCTTTTGCAATAATAAAATCCACACGGAGGAAAGTTTGGGCCCGCCGGGAACGTGCATGGACGTCAAGGGCACTGCCATACTCGTTACACCGGTTGCACCCGGAGTGAAATTAAAGTCTCCTTCCATACTTTTCACTCGGGGAAACTCGACTCGGGAAAAATTTGAATTTCTCCTCCCCGAGAAGCGAAACGCGAACGAATTACGGGGCGTCTGCAGACACAGGTATCTCGCGCGAAATAAAGTTATTAATATTGGATGCAATAGGCAACGCCTCGGGTCTTATAAGGAAGTAATTGCAAAAAGTGTACCTGCCAAAAATTCTTAAATGGGGGAAAACAAGAAACTCGACAAGGAGATAGGTTTTCCGTATTAAATACTGAGGATGTTAAAATTTGTTATTTATTGACATATTTTTTTTGGGATATACTCAACTTCCCGAGTCATTTTAAAGCATATTCAAGCATATTCGGGCAATAATTTCGAAAAAAACGCGATATCTCATCTCCACTTAACCCTGACTGGGAATCTGTACACAAAAACACCGTGGTATTTAATATTCCAAATTTCTCAGAAACTACGCCCATCTTTACGTCATTTTAGTGAACGGTATCGTGAACAAAACCGTGATTTCCTCGAGATAAAAAAAAAGAGAGAGACATCTTCGTAACAGTAAATACCGGTAAAGCAATATTTTCTTGTCCCCGCAATAATTCTTCGTCGTCTTAGCCCTTAATGAAACTTTATTGCGGCAGGTGAGGTCAAATGAAATTTCGTTCTCGAGATTATTATATTTACTACGCCTTAAAAATAACGATTCGCCATTCATAATTACGGTCCATTACTAGGTGGTACACGTTTCATGTGCACGACTTTTACGTCCTCGTCGCAGCTTCAATAAACATTAAATATAAATCAACATACATAATAATAAATAATTCGCCTCACAGCTTTAATTGTACATTAACCACTGCATGGTACAATTTTCTTTCGACCGTCAAAGTAGTTTTTCAGACCAAGAAAAAAAAACCTAAAGAAAAAAGAGGTTCCGTATCAAAAATGTACTCAATGCACATAGAAACGATTCGTTCATTATATACATTTTATTTTATTCCCGTACATATTACAAGTACGGTAACGCCCTTAACCGTTTTAGTGCCACGCAGCGCGATCGCGCTTTTCTCGTACTGTGGTGAATTGTGTCGCGATGTTTGGTCCCGATCGTCGATTCGCAACGCTATCGCGCTTCATAGCACAATCCGACACGGATTTTTAAAAACCCCTGGCACTAAAACGGTTAATACTACCTTGAAGACCGTAAAGTACCATTTAGTTACCTGGAGAAGTTCAGTACCCAACTTTGCGAAGAACCACTTTGAATTCTCTTTACTCCGCAGCGAGTCAAAAACATTCGCCAAATCCGAATATTTACTGATCTCGGTATCGGAAATATAGAAAGGTCGATATTGAGAAACTGTATTTTAAAGTTACCTTTAATATTACGAAGTCCATGTCGCGCCGGGCCCGGAAGAATGGTCGGCGTCAAGGGGGGTAAGGCACAGTTTGAAAAAGTCTCGGCGGCGCTCCCGGTGTTCCGGCGTTCCGGAGTTCCGGAGGTGGCGCGACCCTTGCGTTCCTCGAGGCGTCACTCGGGGCACCGCTCCGACTCACAGGCTCAACTAGTCAACTCATCGCCACTCACCGAGCACCGCCGTCGCCGAGCGGGTCACTCCGGCGTCGCGGCTCCGTTTCCCGCGTAAATTCAAACCGCCGACCGCGCGCGAACCACCCTCGAACTCGGTAACTCGAACCCTAGTTGCCTACCGATACCGCGTCGATCGGAATTCCTTGCTTCTCCTCGGACGAGCTCGGCCCTCGCGGCCGCGGTGAGCAAGGACTGCGAATTTCGACGCGCGAAGACCTCTAGGAGACTGCGGGGGGGACCAGCAAACGAACCCTCGACCGACTCGCGTGGCGGCTCTGCAGCTACTGAAGCGAGCTCTCCGAGCGCCACGAGCGCCGCGAGCGAGAAGCGCGAGAGGTGCGCGAGAGCGAGAGAGAGGGTGGACCGGCCGCGGACCGCGGGCGCCGGAGAGAGAGAGAGGGCGAGCCCGCTGGCCGCGGGAAGGACGGAGACGGAGAGAGCGCGCTGCCCTACAGGGACTCAGGGCCGCGGGGTGGGGACACGGAGACCCTTCCGAAGATCGCGAGAAGGAGAGGGGCGGAGAGAGGGGCACCGAGTTCGGGCTGCACTACCGCAAGCACAATGCACCCTGCACCCGGATAGGGATTTCTCTATTCCCTGCCTACGCGGACTCCGGGCCGATTGCTCCTGCATCTTTTAGCCTCTTTTAGCCCTTTTCGCCTGCTTCTCCCGAGTTTTTGCGAATTTCTAAGGCATCCGGATCTCGCGGCGCCATCAGGTGCTCCGATCAGATGGCCACTCCTTGGGAAGGCTTTGCTATGAATTTTAGAAACGGGATAGATCACCCTGGATTTTACCTATTATTATAAATGCGATGCGTTGTATGTATATTTCATCGCGTAATGTAACGTAATATAATGCGGTACAGAATGAACCAAGGCGCAATGCCAACTGTTTAGAGAAATTATTAAATTTCGTTTAAATTTAACGCACGGCACGGAGAACTCACGTTTGTCCCTCTGCACATAGTTGTATTGAGTTCGAGTTGCGAATCGGATATCTTATCACACTTGGTTTATCCGATAGCAATGTGTTAATACAATTAATTACTGAAGTTCATTAGACGACATATGATCTCTCGTGAACCCAAGTTGATATGACCGGACTTTTCGGAGATTTTCGGGCACGATCATGGCCTTAGGGACCGGAACTTCCACTCCCTGTGGTATGCAACATTTGGGCGTAACGAGACGTGGGATTTTCGCGGGCATGAAACGCTCTGCAACCGCAGACGGTCACCAATTACTCCGGCGTTTTCGACCCTAATGTTTTTACGATTTTGGGAGTGTTTTTTCCACGGAATCCAACCGCAGGTTACCGTGATTTATACACGAGCGGTCGGGACTTCGCGTGGATACGGAATCTTCGTTAGCCCCTCCTCGTTGCATTTCGGCCGAAATTCTGAGTACCTCGAACTTTACGAATAAACGATTCATTGTATGAATAACGTATAGAATGGATAAACCTATCTGTGCAGGAATTTCACCAGCTCCTATGAGAACAAGCGAATTGACTGGAAGTCATTGTTAAGAGTAACTTTGTATGATAACTCGTTGAAAGCGGTCCAACTCGGACATTTGAAATCAATTGAAATGTAAAATGATGCTACCACATATACAAACAGTGGATATTATTTCACGTCCATCGTGACTGGTGCTTCCTTTGCTGTAATTTTAAGGCATTACCCCGTTTCAAAAGAGACACAATAAGTAACTTCCTTACGCTCTTTCACATACAATTCCAAATCGCTCTTTAACACGGCGACGCCATTAATAGAGTATACGTTGCGGCTCTTTTCACAATTTCCCTTTAGGATTGATGGAACCAATTGAACCGATCGACGCTGATCGAGACCCCTCAAGATCGCTTCAAGGGCTCGAAGAGGAGAGGATTTTTAATTCGAGGAGTTCAACTCGAGACTCGTTTCCCACCGATCGGGCAATGGCGGTGCAACCATTGTCTTTAGTCCGATTTTTGGACCGAGCACTTAGAATCGCGCTACTCGAGCATTAACCGCGAATTTGCTTGGCGAGCTCGCCACTCGCCGAAGGACGAAGTTTAAGGAACCTTGAAGAACCCACCAATTAAATCGTGCTTCGTAAATTAACTTTGATAATTATAAGTGGGGTTTCAGAGTGGCGTAGTCCCGAGGGTGGCGAGGAATGGAATTACAAGCGAGACGCCGGGAACTTTTCAACTTTCCCGTCGCTTTTTATTCGAGTTTTCTTGTTAAGATCTCGATTATGAATTTCGGTGTGCGGGGCGATGCCTGGACCCCTCTACGACATTGTAACGCTCCTGCTGCAATTACTGAAGGAAGCAGGAGCGAAAAGGGTCTTAAAGCCCGAGTCTTCCACCAGACCTCCCTTAAACAAAATCCTGACGTTTACGTTTAACTCCGAATTATTAGTCGCTTAATCGGCTGTTCAAAATAAGTAATACGTTCTCCCTCGAGCTCCCCGGCAAAATTTCGATTATATTACGAATGTTATACAATGTGTTCACCGTTTAACTACGAAAAGCATTGTGTATTCAGATTTGCTCAGAAATTTGGCCCAATGTAGTTCGCGGATGTTGCATTATTTATAGAAAATTGAATAGCGACTTTTGTTGGAGAACCGATCCCTTGCATCAGAGTCCTGTATCTTCCGGGCAACTTTTTTCGTCTCTCGTGAATCGTGACGACGATATTGCTGCCGAGGTTTCCTCTTCGTCTGCAATGAAAAGTTGACCTTAACCTTTAACTTTTTAAAAAGATTCCGGCATTCGTAACGAGAGACACAAGGGTCGAGACTTTCTCCATCGTCTAGGCAAAAGATTCGCCGAAGTCAACTTTACTCGTCTTTCGCTTCTTCTGTTCTAAAGCATTCTTGCCCCCTCCCTCGAGTCCGGATACTATTTGAAATGGTCAGAAACAAAGAAAATCATGATCCTCGGAAAGAAGTTAAGTACCCTCTGCATATTGTACCTACGCCAATTACCGTGAAGTTTTTCGTTTTGCCCCATTTACCTCGTCTGAAAGACATCCCTCTCATTTTTTTCGCTTTATTATCCCAGTTCGCGTTCATTGAAATGGACGTAGAATGCAGTTGACTTAAAGACTCTTCTAAGTCCTCTCGGTCCTTAACGCGATCCCCAGAGTCCTAAGGAAGGAATAACGGTAACGAAAGTCGGTAGGACGGCGATTTCTTTTGAAAGGGTTACGGATGGCGATGGAAAACGGAAAGGCAACAGAAAGAGGAAATTGCAGTACGCGTCGGCGACGACGTCGGAGGCGGCGCACCGGACATTTCCCAAGGAGGAAATCCACTTGGTTGTCGTTGGCTCTGCAGGCTCAGGGCAAGGCCGTGAAGGGCGAGAGAACACCGCAGTTTTACGAGCTCCATTTTACTCGGCCTCCACCTCGCCGAACTCGCGTGGAGCGAATACTCAAATACGAATGCCCGGCTGGATTGGATTTCACGGAGTCGTAAAAAGATCGGGCCCGGAAGCGCAGGAACAATTGCCGAGAGGGAGTGTAACTACCGCATGGATGCCGCTCTATAAATGCTGTTATATACCTATATACCCAACTCCTGTATATACGGCGAACTACCTTATCAGTCGTTCGAGCGAGTTTCGAAAATAAGCTATCTCAAGTTGCGGCAGTTTCCATCTGGGCCAGAACCGTAAAGTGCAATAGAGAGATGACGCGAAACTAGCGGCGGTAGTTACGCGATCATATGCACTATCATATGTAAGTATCATATAAGATCATACGTATCATGTACCTACCCTCAAGATGGACCATAAAAATGTATAAGGAATCTCATCTGATATCCAAAGAGAGACGACCGCGAGGTATCTATCCGCACTTTCTTTGCATCCAGGAACAAATCGCGGTACTTTTATCTTGATAATTATAACGTATCTTAAATGGAAACAGCCATTGTTTCCTTATGTCCACGGTACGTGGCTGACTTAGGCCTCCACCCTTCCCTTATCCCAGAGAACGGATTATCCCGCGGGATTCCCGCGGCCGGTCCGAGGAAGGCGAATCCCGGAGTTTTGCGAATTCTTTTTGATAGGCTACTTTTTTCACAGCAGGCCGTCTGGACGAAGGAACATGAAGAAATGAGAAGGAAACGAGCCTCTGAAGATCAGAGGCGAATCGCCTGGGACTTGCTACTTGGGGTCGGAAAAGAAAGATCAACGTCGCATTGTCGCAGTTACTCGCAACTGCGCACGGAGGCGCTGGCAAGGGGACGTCAGGGCGGCGGGAAAGAAGCGAAATAAAAGCGCACTGCAGATCACAGGGCACTAATTAAAAAAAAAGGGGAAGGAAAGAACGAAGAAGAACCACCGTCACGCCCTAACCTCGCTACCCTTGTAGCCAGACATGGATGCTGGTCGCGGTGAGAGCCTAAGGAAATCTTCAGCCTTCGTTCTTGCTGAATCAGCTGCCTGCGTTTCAATCTTTGTGTTCTTGCTGCGGCGCAAGTAGATGGAGTCTCCAATAACGAAAAAGAGGTAATACTCATGGAGAGGGCCAAAACTTTTTCGAGAAACCTGCCAGGAACTCCGCGATTTTTCCGCAACTCCCTTGTGACCCCTTTGATCTTTAGACGTTTCACACCTCGACTTCGAATTAACCTTCTGTCGTAAACATAAGGCTCCTCGAATAGTCTTCTTCGCTTTAAAGGGCAGATTATCATAAAAGTTGTTATGTCAAATAATTAAATTAGGATTAATTAAATGTCTCTTCAGAATCGATAATCAGACTCTTCATATGGGTATGCCATTATAATGGCCGTCTAATTTCATACGTGGATTAGGTTTTTCATTGCATCGATTTGCCATAAAGCGGGTAATTCCGAGGGAGTTGCTTTAGGGAACCGAGTACCATTTATTATGGACATTTTGACTTCGACCGAGTACATTAATTTGCGAGATATAGGGCTTGGCCCTTTCAGTTGGTAATATCGGGGAAAGGGCTTTTCGAGA